AGTAAAATTGCGTATCACAGTAAAAAAATGATCTCTCACAATTCTCGTGTATTTGTAGTGTTTAGTGCAATACTGTAAACCTTGAATAACACCATGAGACTCATATATAGTGCCACTAGTGATACTGGAAGTGCCCCCAAGAAGCAGAGAAAAGTCATGACATAAGAAAAAGTTGAATTGCTTGATATAAACCGTGGACTGAGATCTGCAGCTGAGGTTGCCTGTCATTTCAGACAAATGATTCATCTTGTAAACAGATGACATAAATGTATGCTATTGATAAATACAGTACAGTACCATAAAAGTATTTTCTCTTCAATATGATTTTCTTAGTAACATTTTCTTTGGTCTACCTTTCTTTTTTGGAAGAATACAGTATATAATACATATAACATATAAAATGTGTTAATCAGCTGTTTATGTTATTGGTCAACAGTAGGCTATTAGTGAAGTTATGAGGGAGTCAAAAGTAAAAAGTGGATTTTCAACTGTGCAGGGGTTTGGTTCTCCTAACCCCCTCATTATTCAAAGGACAAATGTATAGCCTATATACCAAGAAATGAGTGGTAACTGTAGTGGACTATCGCTATACTGAGTGATCAAGTGAGAGTCCATCACTTTGTTGTTCCAGATTATTCAGGTGGAATCGTTAGGTAGAGAGTCATCACTAATTTCCCTTCTTTGCAGAAAACAGATCCAGAGTGTTCTCTCATCATCAGTTAAGGATGGCATCAGATCTGAGAGAAATACCTAAGAGTATTATTCTCTAGCTCCGAGGCTCTGGCTTGGAGGTCACATGACTGCATCCTTCCACCAAACTGTAATTCACTTACAAGTGCCTTTCCATCTCCTATGATTCCCCTCATTTCCATTTATTACCTGTTTTAATCTATACCCTTTTCCCTATGAGTGGGCTTTCTAGTTCAATAGATGTATTTTAAACCCACAAGACCAGTAAAAACAACAGCCCTGTTAACATATCTCCTGGCAGATATTATAAGATTTGACAGATAAAGAATCACAGGACACTTGGCTCTGTGTTTACAGATAGCCCTTAATTTGTCTATACTGGGTGAAGTTATACATACCCGTAAAGGCCTCTAAGTATATGTACTGTCAAATTTAATGGTATTGATATTGTATTTTCTGCATCAAATAACACTTTTCTTTGGTACACACACTTTAAACTTGGGGACCACCAGATCGAGCAAAACAAAAAAGAGATTTTGCAAAATGGGGAAGATACACAGTTGTGTACTTGCATCCTCCCCATCACCTCATTCCTACCTCCCCATTCTAGAAACCTTACGAGTAGAGTCCTGGCATTTCTTCCTTTCATAATCAATGTTAGTACAAAATCACTTAACTGATTAAGCTAACCCTTAAACCTATATCGTTTTCCTAGTGATCAATTTAGTTACTTTGCAAACAAATCGTTTGAAAAGCAGAAGGTTGACCAGTAACGAGTAAAAGTGGTCTCATGCTTTTTTTCTATCATCTCTCTCCCTCTCTTTTTCTCTCACTATCTCTCTCTCTTCCTCTAGCAACCAGATACATACCGCTAAAAGCATTCTAAGGATAATAACTTGTCCCTTTCTAGTATATGCCATCAGAGATTTTTTGTTTGTGTGTTTTTGCCATGAGGTCTGTAATTAATATGTTCATAAAGAGATTATGCAAGTTGTTCTTTCTTTCTTTCCAGGGAACATACCCCAGTTACTGGAAATAATGAATTGTAGACCTCGTACTTGGTCTTTTTGTTTCCAGAAATTATGGAATTTTCTAATAACATCTCCTGATCCTTGAGAATTAAGATTTTTCATTATAGAAGAAAGAAAGCAGAGATGGAATACAGAACTATTATCACCCTTATATAGTCCTGAATCCGATTTTAAAATATCATGAACTCATGGGTTATTAGATATACACACATAAACATAAATATATATCATTTCACACTTAAAAGAAACCAGGGCTTCTTAAAGAAAAAGATGTTCTAGGTCTGGAACAGAAAATGTATAAGGTGATCCCGTATGTTCATAGCAGCATTATTTATAATAGTGCTAAAACAGGAAACTACCTATGTGTCATCAATGAAAATATGGACAATTAAATTGTGGCATATTCCTACAATGGAATGCTGTACTACCACAAAAATGAACACACTATTGCTTCATTCAATGATATGGATGAATCTCATAAACATATTGAACCAAAGAAGCCAGACGCAATAGAGCAGGGGTCCCCAACCTACGGTGAGTTGTATAATTATTTCTTTATATA